ATAAAAATTAATAAGATAAACATAATAAAATAAAATATAAAAAAATATTAATATATTTATTTTATTAGATATAATAACATAATTAAAATATAATTAATAATATATATTTTATAAAATTATTAATATTTTATATATATAAAAAAAAAACCGGAACGGCCCGTTCTGAATCCGGAACGGGTTGTTCTGGTTACATTTTCAGTGTGTTAATTTTGCACCTGGAACGAACCGTTCCGGATGCAAAATTAATACACCAAAAGTGCACCCAGAACGGCCCGTTCCGGTTTCAGAACGGGCCGTTCTGGGTCCAGGTGTTTTCAAAAAAATTCTCATCCACGTGGCATCCACGTATGCATCTACGTGGCGTCCACGTGGCCAAAAGTTAACACCGTTAAAGCAATTTGGACGGAAAGTCCCACATTGAAACCAATTAATTAATTTGGGACTAAATGAAACCAATTAATTAGTTTGAGACCAAATTGAGACCAAAAATTAATGAGGGACTAAATTGAAACAAAAATAGATTATAAGGGACCAAAATAAGTTTTTAGCCTGTGTTTGTGTATTATTCGTTGTTTTATTAGTATATTGCTCTTAAGTTTTTACTTTATTTATATATTTACTTTATTAATTTTGTAAATATATTTCAATTAATTTCTTACTTTATTTTTATATTTACATTATTTGTTGTTTTGTTGTTATATTGTTACTATCTTTTTTACTTTATTTGTCTATTTACTTAATTCATTGTTTTAATAATGAAAGTGTTATTTTTTCGGGATTATAGCAGATTCGGGGTTTGGCAGTGTCAAGAAGGAATGTAGATCTGTCACCTGATTGTCTGGGTTGATAGCGGGACAGATTGCCAAGGAGAGGACACATGTTGAGGTGGATCCTTGTTCTGGCAAGATGTCAGGCCCAGATGCTGCAAAGTTTAGGAGCTATCTGAGAGTCATAGCTCGACGTCATGTTTCTATATGACGTTGAGGAGGCTGACAAGAACCTCATGTGGCAGAATATTCAAGTATATACTTGCACATCCCTTCAATATTATATAACTTAATTATGTTATTTATTATTTATTGTTATTTAGACAACAAAATTTTGAGATTCCCCACACTGATGTGATGAGGAAGAAGATGTTATTTCCCCTTGGCACCAGGTGGAAGGACTTTAAGACTTTCTTGACACGGGAGTATGTATTTGGAAAACAACAAAATGAAACTCCTTGTTTAAAGTACCACCAGATTAGTGATGAGGAGTGGATGCAATTTCATGCTAGTCGATTGGACCCTTCTTAGCAGGTTAGTTATTGATAATTCTTGCATTAACACATAAATACTTAAGTATATTTTAATCTCATTTTCTTATTTGTAAGCCAAAAGACTAGCTGCCCAAGAACGATAGAAGTTGAATGATGCACCTCATTTGTTGTCACGAGGGGGATATGAATTGAAAAAGAAGAGACTCATGAAGGCTAGGGCAGAGGCATCAGGGGTTGAGTTTGCTGACCTTATGGATCCACCCCCCCACTATGAGATGTGGATAGCAGCTCGAACAAAATCAGATAAGCAAATGACTTCGCAGTCTATAAGGGTCATTACTGATAAAATAGTAAGTAAAATATACATACTAACGCTCTTAATTTCAACTCATTCAATTCATAAGTGATGTAGTTTAGGGTATACTTACTTATTGTTAATATGTCGCAGGATGATTTAGTTGAGCAGGCCACCCAGGGCTCATTTGTTTCCCATGGTCGGAATGATATACTCACAACGGCCACAGGAAGGCCAGAGCACCCAGGGCGTGTGCATGGTATTAGTCGTTCTTGGAGTCTCCAAGATTACTTTGGTGCATCACCATCGAGGAGCAGTGTCGACTCTTGCAATCAGGAGGCCTTGTAGAGAATGGAGATGCAATTTCAGGAAAAATTGAATAACATGCGACAAGAGTTTGAAGAGAAGTTTGATATTTTGACTCGTTCTCAACAACAAACTGCAATTGTTAATGATGTTGTTCGAGTGAGCATTAAAGGAAGTTGTGCTACTGCAAATCCCTTAGGGGAACATACTCACACTAATGTACCAAACCAGTGTGAGTTATATGTTGAGGATGACCCCCCATGTATATTGGCTATTGGTCGAGTATTTGAGAGTGGCTCAACCATCCATGGTGTCCCTATACAGCCAGACTGGACACGGGTTGTGGTTGACCATGTTCAAGATGCTGTTATTCTAGTGCCTTTGCCTAATATAGAGGTTCAACTAGTGGGGCAGGCAAGCGGCATATTCTTGGCTTGGGCAAGACGTTTGGTGATGCCGCTTTCAGCACAGGCAAAGGTAATTTTATTATTGCTCTTTTGTATTATTATAATTATATTATTGTTTAACTAACTTTTATCATTTGTCTAGGATTTTATCAATCGTGGTAAGGAGATAATGAGAGAACCTGTTATTGATGATGTTAATATTGCAGGAACTAAGGATGATCCCATATCTAGGCTTCTAACCAGGGACGGACCCATGTAGAAGAGAGTGGGGGCATATGCCCCCACTACCATTTGACACACACATATTTTTAATATAAAAAATAATATATTTTTAAAAATGAAAATTATATTATAACAAAATAAATATATATATTTAAATCATATGTATAAAATATAAATTTAAAACATTTTTTCATTTATTTGATATTTATCAAACTTGCGATGGAGATTAGTTCTTATATCATTCTCCCGATTCTGCATTTCGTGATCTGATCCTTCATGCAAACTTTCATCATTCCTGCGATAATGTGTTATAGATTAAATATATAAACGAAAATTGGCTTCTAACCGAGAGCTTTTAAAAAAATGTGATTATTTCTCTAAATCTAATAATTATAATGGTAAGGATTGTAAATGAATTTCTTCATCATGTTACTGTTTTACGATCGTTACCAAAAAAAATAAGTCAATTCAAGCTAATAATGCAACAACAACTCGGGAATATAGCAAATGCATGTCATTTATTATATTGAACATATCATACTATACCATCTAGAATTAATATATAGAATGCATCTGTGAAAAATTATAAGGAATTCTTTCGGATCTGAACCTAAAATCAACATAAAGGAATATTATCTGCATTAATTCTAAACATATATGAAGATTAACAAGTCCAACATATATAACCTCAAAATTTCAACTTCCCTTGATAAGATAAATAGTATACCCTGTTTTAGTTCATTAAAATATCTAAAATTCAAATTTATTTTCTTGTGTGTTTAGATGGAAATTTTAAGAGAATAATTCATATAGGATTTTAAAAGACTTTTTTTTTTATTAATATGAAAAAATTAGAATAACAAAAACAAGGATTCAACTTAAGCTCTCATGCATCTAACTCACTCCACTTAAAAATTAATTTATTAAGAATTACCTTAAAAATTCTTAAATAATTTAAGGACTAGTCCAACAATTTAACCAGTTGAAAATAAAAGAAAAGTTGCAACACTTTTGATAAATACAAGAATAAAAAATATATTGCTTTTATAGAAATTAAAATGAATTTCGATGTATTTTAATTTTACCTAATATAAAATTCCATGGTGTAAAGCAATGAGACAAAACTATGTTCGGACATATGTGCCAGCTAAACTATATTATCAGTTTTCTTCTTATTTTTAATATTTATTTTATTTCTTTATCTTTCTAAAGATTTTTTTTTTGTCCTTATTTTTTCAAAATTTGAATTAATTTTATCCTTTTAAAATAATGATCATTTATTATTATTATTTTTTAACACAATTTTAAATATATTTTTTTCAATGATTCAAGATGTAAATCTTGTCTCATTAAATTTACTTACTTAAATACTGTGTTTCGTAAAGGAGTAAAAAATAGAAGGAAGAGAAAAATAAATAAATAAAAGATAAGTGAAGAGAAGTAATAAGAAATTAAAGTAATTTGATATCAAAGAAATAAAAGAGAGTCAGAGGGAAATTAGATTGTTTAAATTATATTTTTCAAATTAAAAAATATAATAATTAAATATTATAAATACATTTGCCATTTTACTCCTAAATACTACACATGCCTCAAACTTTCTTTTATTTAATTATGGTTCACATATTCGACTATGGAATTAAAAAAAAAAAAAACTATATATCATAAAGAGCAACAAGATGACATGCAATGAATCAATGAAAGAATATTATGGAATAGATATATAGAGTCGTGGGAAAGATAAAGAATATATTGATAGATGGAAGAAGATTGATATATATATATACCTAGTGGGGAGATTGGCATTGCATGTGTGCGTGCCAACGTATGTAATTCGGTACAAATCAGGATTTTCTTCACACCCCTGCACCAGTTTGGTTGCTTTACAACCTTGATCATACTTGTAAATGCATCTGAAGTACCTCCTAGAAATTAATTATCATTGAGTACAAAGTGAGTTACATGGCTAATCTTGAAACAGAAATTGGTCTGGTAATTATATATATAATTACCTGTTCATTTAGAAAATTGACACATTAATAGAAGAATCATAAAATACCTATCAAGTTTAAAGAAAAGTTTTATCGTATTACTATATACTTTAGTATTGAATGTTGTATTCCGAAGGAAAACAAGAAAAAATGTAGAAGTAGATCAGTGTATGTTAAAGTTAATGTGTGGCTTTAGAAAAAAGAATTTATAATCTTTGTATACAAGAAAAAAATTGATATATTACTTGTCAAATAATAGATATAAAAAATAATATTAGTTAATGTGTTTGGATGCGTGCAAATAATTGTCACTGCCATAGGTAATGAAAATAGATTGCACGATTAGCTATGTGAAAAAAAAAAAAAAGGGAGATCCAGAAAGTTATTGGAGAAATACTATGAGAGATGTCATAATATATAATACGATAAAACTTACTGTTGTATTGTTATCTAGTTAGAATTTGACTTCATTTAATCAATATGTATAAATATTTAATGGAAATTTTATTATTGTACAATTACGTATCTTATTAAAAAAAATAATTTTAATTAAAAAATAATACTAAAATTTTGTTTAAAATAATATTTGTTAATAACAAGTTATTGGTTCAAGTAAAACAGAATTTGATCTCTTTAAACAAAACTTGGAATCATATAAAGAAAATAAAATATGATTCGAGTAAGTGACTAATTAACTAAAAAATAATAAAAAAATTAGTCAAAATTTTTTGATAAAAATAATTATTAATAAAATTGATAAATATTTTATACTAATTAATAACATAATTATCAATAAAAGTAATAAATAATATTTTTAAGAATTTAATTTTTAACTATGATCTATATAGTCAAGTATACTCCCTAATTAAATAAACTTCTTGTCAGAACATGATGCAAATTTCAAGAATTGTAAAAAAAAAAAAAAAAAAAAAGTCTAGAAATAGGTAGAAAGATTCCATATAATTCTAGTTAAATATTAAACTACTAAAACTCTAGAATTTCTGTCGCTAGCTAGATCATCATGGGACAATAGACGACTAACTTACACACTAAACTCTCAAACTTCCAATTGTGAGGGTCCTCCTATAATATTTTCCATTCAACTATAATTTTAAATACACTATCCACTATTACTCTGGTCTAAACTTTTTTAATAGTACCAAAGGTAAGTTCATTTATCTACTGACTATAGATATATTTTTAATTACTTCAAACAAATCTAATTATATTCCACACTACTTATAAAATATTTTTCCTATTTATGATGATTACCAATCAACCAATATCTATCTCAATCCCTATTTTAATATGAGAAAAAAATGACTTTTAATAAGACTTTTTTTTCTCAAAATTTATGAGATATTATGGAAAATGGATTTATTATTTCTAAAGACATCTCAACTTTTACTGCAGCTCAAAAAAAGAAGTTGAAGAAAAACAAGCAATAGGATTCTAGGGCATTATTTGCAATTCAACAAGTAGTTGATGACAAAATATTTTCAAGAATAATAGGTGTCACAAGTACAAAAGAAGCTTGAAACACACTACAAGAGAAGTTTCAAGGAAGTAACTAGACAAATAATATTTAACTTCAATCTCTAGGATGTGAGTTTAAATTAATAAAAATTGAAAGAGTTTGAGACCATAAAAGACTACTATTCAAATAGTTAGTCAAATGAGAGCAATGAAAAAAATATTCTTGACAAAAAAATTGTTGTGAAAATTCTAATTTTTATTATCCATAAATATGATACAATTGCAACAACTATCGAACAAACTAAAAGTTGAACAACTTGTTAATAATACAACTAATGTGTTCAATCTAAAAATTTGTCTAACTTATTAATGATACAACTAATAGATTCTCTTGAAACTTGTGAACAAATATTGAAAAGGCGTAAAAAAAGACTCTACCAAAATTACCTTTCAATCAAAGCTCAAATTATGGTCATGAAATAAAAAATAAGAAAAAAATAAAAACAGTGAGGAAATCTTTAGAAATAAAGAAAATTCTAAAACTTTATAAACACTTTTACAGTGAAGTATTGAAGTTGGTGTGCCACCTATCAAGCAATAAAATAACTAGTAATAGTAGGTTTTCAACCGAAAAAATAAAAAATAAAAATCATGACTAAATAAAATGAACAGCATTAAGATGATTTCTAGTTATCACATGTGTGATAGCGAGACTCATTTTCATCTCCAACCTTCGTCTCCTCCATTTCAAAAACTTCTTCTCCAACCTTTGTTCCTTTTTCTCCCTCGATCTAGCGACAACAAAGGCGCCACTCACACTACATTGATTTTTGGTCGTCACAAGCAGCAATAACAACACCATTTTCCTTCTTCAACCACTGTTTTCTCTATTTTAAAATCTTCTCCAACTTTCGTCTCTCTTTCTCCCCTGACTTGGAAATAATGGGGGTGTCACTCACCTCGTACCTCTATCTCCCTCGACCTTGCAACAGTGATGACACCACTCACACGACGACCACCATATTGAATCATTAACAATTGAGTAACACAAATTGAATCAATCCACGATTAAACAAAAACATTCCAAATCCAAAATAGATCTCACTCGATTATTATCAATGATACCAACAGAACAAGATTTAATTGTCATTATTTTGTCTTAACAGTTTCACAAATGAATCATGTAAATAATCAGGCAAAAACGAGATACAATACGAAGAAGACCAATGCTTGACGGTGGAGAGACCAAAGGAAAAAAAAAGAAAAGGATGCGATTAAGGGGGATCGGGTGCCACCAATGTCAACAAGTTGATGCTAAAACTATGGTGTGTTTCTCCTCCAATTTGATTTGCTTGTTGCTATGCATTTCTCGATCTAGTTTGGCCATGACGACATGATACCTTGGGTTGGGAGAACAAAGAGTGTCACGGTGCATTTTTCCTCAAATTTGTTTTGGTCGTGATGACACAATACATTAGGTTGGGAGAATGAGGAGTAGGCTTGGAATGGGAAAGATCACAGAGAACCTTCTTAGTAGGTTTCCAGTAAAAAATCTCAACCTCAATTTTTTTATTAATAAATCCAACGGTGATTAGAGATGCTTAATGGATGTACCACTTATTTTGGTACTTCATGTTAGATTTTTTGAAAGTTTCTTTAAGTTCAATCAAAGCAAATATCCTCCATGTGACATCTATAAGGAGATAAGTCACTGGAAAGAAATTGTTGGCATCATGAAAAGCCTCAATGTCAATACTAGAAGAAATTTGGACATGTTGAAAAGAATTATCACAACAAAAATAGACAACAAGCAAATTTTGTTGAAGAGCAAGACAATGAGATACATTTTTTTTTCTATGCACTTGAATATTAAGATGGTTTTGGAAAAGTGTTTTTCACACTTTCTTCATTACTTGATTGAGTATATAAAAACATACAATATAGGCTGAAAAGGCTAAGAGCCTAGGACTGCTCATCAGACATACAAAAAGAAGATAATATAAAATACAAAAGCTTCCCTAATAAGCTATTCTAACACTCCCCCTCAAGCTGAAGCATACAGATTGTATGCACCAAGCTTGGAACATAAGAACTGAATGCGAGGCCCCCTCAATGATTTAGTCATAACATCTGCAAGTTGTTCATTGGATGTGACAAATTTGGTAACAATTTCCTTAGATAGCAACTTCTCTCTAACAAAATGACAGTCAACTTCTATATGTTTAGTTCTCTCATGAAATACTGGATTGGAGGCAATGTGGAGTGCAGCTTGATTATCACAATACAACTTCATTGGATGACCTTCACAAAACTTTAACTCTTGAAGAAGTTGCTTGATCCACATGAGTTCACAAGTAATTAAAGCCATAGCACGATATTCAGCCTCAGCACTGGATCGAGCAACAACATTTTGCTTCTTACTCTTCCAAGATATGAGATTTCCACCTAGGAACACACAGTAGCCGGTAGTGAACATTTTGCTTCTTACTCTTCCAAGATATGAGATTTCCACCTAGGAACACACAGTAGCCAGTAGTAGAGCGTCGGTCTATAGGACAACCAGCCCAATCAGCATCACAATAGCCAGAAATTTGGCTGTCTCCTTTGTCCTCATACAATAATCCTTGTCCTGGTGCCTTTTTGATATATCTAAGGATACGTAAAACAGCATTCCAATGATCAATATGAGGGGCCTGCATGAATTGACTAACAATCCCTACTGCAAAAGAAAGATCAGGTCTTGTGATTGTGAGATAAATAAGCTTCCCAACCAATCTTCTATATCTCTCTGGGTCTGTGAACGGTTCACCTTGATCAGCCATCAACTTTTGGTTAGGATCCATAGGACTATCAATGGGCTTGCAATCCAACATGCCAGTTTCCTTCAAGATATCAATAGCATATTTTCTTTGTGAAATCACAATGCCTTCCTTTGATTGGGCAACCTCAATACCCAAAAAATATCTCAGATGCCCAAGGTCTTTGGTCTGGAAATGACTAAACAAATGTTTCTTCAATTGAGAGATTGTAGTTGCATCATTCCCTGTAATCACTATGTCATCAACATAAACAATCGAATAAACACATTTTCCAGGTGAAGTGTGACAATAGAACACTGAATGATCTGCTTCACTCCTTTTCAGCCCAAAATTCTGCACCACATGACTAAATTTTCCGAACCAGTTTGAGACCATAAAGAGATCTTCGCAATTTGCAAACTAAACCAGACTCCCCCTGAGCAACAAACCCAGGAGGTTGCTCCATGTAAATTTCCTCCTCCAACTCCCCATGAAGAAATGCATTTTTAATATCCAATTGGTGGAGAGGCCAATGCTGAATAGCTGCCATAGCAAGGAAGAGACGAACTGTAGGGATTTTGGCCACAGGAGAAAAGGTATCACCATAATCTAGGCCATAAATTTGAGTATATCCCTTGGCCACTAATCGGGCTTTAAGTCGATCAACTGTACCATCAGGCCCAACTTTAATGGCATAGACCCATCTGCAGTTTCTAATTAAATTTCTTCTATTATACATATCTTATCTAATATATTTATATTTTTGTAAAAGTATATTAATATATACTAAGTTATATTTATTAAATTATTATTTTATCAATACTAAAAATATTATAATTTATCAGTAATATTATAATACCAATAATATATAAATTTTATTTATTTAGTAATTATATATATATATATATATATCACTTGATACATTAACAAAAATTATAATATATGTTAACTTAAATAATTGTATAATTTTAAAACATTATATATATCTACATATTAAAATTATTAAATTTTTAATGGGAGAGATTCAAAT